TTATACTCCGTTCGCAATTTGTTCAGGGGATTCGAACTTATCTCTTACTTTTCTTGCAGGTGAAATCATGATCTCCGCGGCCGATCGGAAGAAGCTGTTTAAGTCTAAGGCGCGCGCGGAGTCCAGCCAAGAACAACCTCCGCTCCCAACTCCCGCGCCGTCTGCCGAGCATGCCCAGGCGAGTAAGAAGCGCAAGGAGTTGAGCTCCTTGGCGGAAGAGGCTTCGCTGAGTGGGGCGAGGTCTCCACCCTCGTGCTTGGTGGACTGCGGGAACCCGGCCTTCGTGAAGGTGGTGTTCCCCCTCAAACCTTCGTTCTTGCATGGGGACTATGAGCCTCGCCGTTTTCTGCAGAGCTTCATCCCTCCGCCAGACCGAATGGAGATAAATTCGGCCGCCACGCGGGACCTCGCCTCCACTCTCTTGCTCGAGTTGGGCTCGGTAAGCATTCTTTGCTCAGGTATGGCGTGTGTTTCTGCCCGACACTTAGATGGATTCTAACAAATTTGCCAGAATTTCACTGCTGTTGTAGGTGGCCATGCGCGCCCCAGAGCTGGTGGAGCGCTTCAAGTGGTATGTGGCGGAGAAGGCCAAAGGTGAAGAAAACGGCAAGGCTCTTAGTCCCCATGCAAGAATGAAGGCTTGGGGGGGAACGCCACTTTCACGAAGGCCGGGTTCCCGCAGTCGACCGAGCGCGAGGGTGGGGACCTCGCTCCGCTCAACAAAGCCCCTTCCATCGAGGAGCTCACATCCTTTCGCTTCTTACTCGTTTGGGTACGCTCGGCGGACGGCGTGGGAGTGGAAAGCGGAGGCCGTTCTTGGCCGGACTCCGATCGGGGCTTGGACTTGAACAGCTTCTTCCTATCGGTCGCGAAGATCATGATTTCACCTGCAAGGAAGATAAGATATTAGTTCGAATCCCTACAAGGAGCCCAAACCCACTAAGGAAGCGAACGAGGGAAACCTGAGGGTCCTTCTTCAAGCTGACTTTGGACAACCCGACGCTTGGGCTCGTCCTCGTCATGGAAGACGAACCCAAACTTGGAGAGAGCCTCGTCATTCACTAAGACCCCGGGCTCGTAAGGGCCACCCGAACACAACTTGTTCGTATCAGCAGTAGCCTTGGAAGAGGCAAAGGGTTTGGATCGCCTACGAAAAGAGCTTAAGGGAGTGTCTTGGAAGGGGGAGGCTGACCCTACGGAGACGAAGACAAACTTGGACTTCCAAGTCCTGTTGGATTCCTTCTTGGTTTTAAAAAGTCTCTCCTGCCACTGGCAAAGGGCGGCAAAAGAACCCCCATCCGACCCGGAAGACTTCGCCACTCGGAACAGGGTCAATAGGCGCTCAAGGTCGGCCCGCACGCCCACCTCCCGGCAGCGGATCAAGAACCCCGCTAAGTACCGGTGCGAGTTCGGCACCAGTTGGCACGGGAGGAAGTCAAAGTACTTGAAGAAGTCGATGACCAAAGA